AAAAACTTACTGAGACACGTTGGGAAGTCTGCCCAGTGCGGCAGAAGCCGCCGGGTGTCCACCCCAAACCGGTGCCCTCCCTCCCCGTGAGCCCTCCCACAGGGGGTCACCCCTTGCTCTGCTAGGTGCCGCCTCTGAGGATGAGTCCCTACAGCAGTGTTAAATTCTGGAGCGCGGCCACTGTTCTGTGACGACGAGGGAAATGGTCTTTGCTTTCAGGAGATGCCACACTCAAGTATTCAGACGTGCAACAGCAGTGGGACAATGCGGTGGGGCCGGGGGGACAGAGGTGTGCCTGGCGATCCAGGTAAAGGACTCACTGTTCTCAGGTGCTCACTGGACCCGTCTCAAGTGTGAACTTTTTCAGAATAAAAAGTCAGGGGATATGCTACCACTGACGACACACCATGACGACACACAGGATCAGAAGCTGGTTTTATTGGAGACGCTCCCCCCATATGCTAGTGAAAACAAAACGTCTTATCACCCGATTACTATTTCTAGACGAGGCTGTGTAGCTAAAACCTTACAGAGAAACTGGCAGAATGGCAAGGTACAAAGGCTAACATACAAAATCGCTTTCCTACAGACGAACGACAAACACATACAGAAAAAAACCCTAAACGATGCTAATAAAAATCCTAAAATACTTAAGGGTGTAAATAATACACTGAATAAAACATTACTGAGATGTTTTGACAACAAAGATTCAATATTGTAAACACATTCAATTTTCAGCCGTAACAATCTAAAAATGTAATTCAAACAAAATAAAAATACCAACCGATTTCTAACTAGACGAAATTCTAAAGTTCACATTAGTAACAAACCAGAAAAGGAAAACAGGAAATATACGAAATTTGCTTATGGTCACAGAGGACCACGGCAAAGACAACGGTGGAGGACGAGGAGGTGGTGACCCCCACGAAGCCGCGAGAGGACCGGGCAGAGGGAGACGGCAGTTCTGATGCCACTCTCTGTGTCATCTCGACTTCTACTAGTAGGCTACCTTGCAGATATTCGAAACCGAACGCCCCCTCGCCCCTCAATCCCTACTCTGCCGTGGGCTGTGTGGTCACACTCACTGAACCCAAAGCCGGGGCGGGTGCTTAATCAGATGGAAAGGGGCGGACGTGAAACAGAAGTGGGCTGGACGCCAGAGCCCGGCGCTGACTTCCCCAGATGGACGAGGCTTCCCGGGCTCGCGGACAGCGGTCGCAGCAGGTGGCTGTGGGACTATTCCAGGGACAACTGCAAGGCAGAGGGAGGGGAGGGGCGTGCCGACTGCAGAGGACGGACACGCGGGCCGAGCCGGGGGGCAAGAGCGAGGCCCACAGGAGGACCGGAACCGAGGGATCGGTGTGAGCGCCCGCGAGGTGCAACGGGCGCCGCACGCGCACCTGCACTGCGAGACGCGGCGGGGCCTTGCAAAGTAATTTCAGATGTGGGAAGGAGTTCTGAGCAAGTCCCAGGGACCAGATCTGGAGCTGAACGCGCTGCTCACTGCAGCCTCGTATCTACGAAAAGCTGAAGGCCGCTCACAAGAGGGACGGTAGCCTGCCGACTTCCGCACGTGCGTCTGCAGGTGACACCGTGCGGTTGTTGAAGAGAACGAGACGGCCCAGATGAACACAAGCGGAATGACACCGAGGCTGCACAGCTGAAGACAACAGGAGCAGGACGGACGGCGCGCACTGACCAGGCTGCAGAGACCTGCACACGCCCGGAACGCCAGGCAAGCGGACAGACACCGCTTCCAGGACGCCTCGACACCTCGCTCTCACCCTCCCCACTCGGATTTCTTACCACGTGCGTGTCAAAATTAGTCCAGAGTATTTTAATACACCGTTCAACACACACGTTTTCTGCTTTTCAAAAAACACAAAAACAAAACCAAAAAACAACGAGCGAGACAAGGCACGCCGACACCGTGCGGGAGAACGTATAAAGCAGCACGGGCTTCCCACAACATAACGTGGCATTCTATAAAGACCTGAAAAAGTATTATCAATTCAGCAAATCCAACTGTAGGCATCTATCCTAACGAAATGATTAAAGATGCATAGAAAGACGTATTATTTATAATATTAAAAAAGTATAGGGGCATCCAGGTGGTTCAGTCAGTTATGCACCCGATTGCGGCTCAGGTCATGATCTCATGGTTTGTGAGCCCACGTCCGGCTCTGTGCTGACAGCTCGGAGCCTGGAGCCTGCTTCGGATTCTGTGTCTCCCTCTCGCTCTCTGCCCTACCCCGCTCATGATCTATCTCTCTCTGTCTCTCAAAAAATGAATAAACATTAAAAAAACAATTTTAAACTACTCTTATATATATATAAACTATCATGGAAAGCACATATAGCAAAAAAAAGTCTGAAAGATTACACACGCATTCTCTCTAAATGTTGTGATTATTGGTTCTTTTAATAATGTTACTCTTCTTAATCTTTAGTTTCCAGCTTTTTTCCAAAGTAAATACATATTACCTATACAGTAAGTTTCAAAAAGATAAAAACACATTATTTTGTATAAAAAGCAAAGACATATAAAAAGAAGAGACAAACCTACGTAGAAAGTATGAACCCAATTTTTAGGATGCAAATTTTCCGCATGCGACTTCAATCATGTATTTGTTTTTCTGTCTCAGGAGGAAAGTATACCAAACAGTTATCTGTAACCATCCTTGGAGAGTAGAATTAAAACTTTATTTTCCCCTTTTTACTTTTTTGCATGTTCCTAATTTTACACAATAAGCAGAGATATGGGGGGGTTAATATTTTCAAAGAAGCACCCATTTACACACTGCAGACACAAGCGCCCCCGCCCCCCCCACCAGCGACAGAGAGCCTGGGTTTCCCTCATCAGCACTGCAGCCCCGTCGGCCCTCAGGTGCTCCCAATACCACACCTGTGGTCCTCACAGAGCCCCTGACTGTGGTGTTTGACCTGCTTTGGGTCATCATGAACTTCTCTTCCCCCAAATTCCCACACCTCAGGGGGTTCAGACGCCAAGCAAGGAGACACTACCATCTTGAGAGACAGAATATTTACTTCTGGCCACTGCGGAATCCTACAAAAGTTCATTTCTGATAAAAAAAAAAAAAAAAAAAAAAA